TACTGCTTTTTTACCTCAATCCTGAGAAAACTAGCAATTTGACTAAAACCTCAACTATCGTATTAAGTTTGTCTAAGCTATCTGAACTTTGTACACATTCAGATAAACTTGAGTTTTAGATGAAGTGGAATGAATTTATGCGAAGTATATGTTTTAGCACTTCAAAACCATGACACACTCACTATAATAATTTTACAATCCTTAAATTCCCACCACCAAATTTGGAGTATAGTGCAGGTGTCAAATGCATCAATTTCTTTCTCTTTTCAGTAAACAACATAGATGTCTTCAGCAAAGCTCTCTCCTCACAAAAGGGAGTCCTTTTGGTCTCGAAAATTCATATTTTTAAATGGCTAATTTGGAGCTTTTTTCTGAATCAGTCGAAAAATCTTCATTAATTATCCCCAACCCGCCAAGATTCACCAGTACTCTCCTAAATATTACCCTTAAGCTATGATTATGAACTTAATGTACCAATATGTACATCATCATGCTCAAAGTAACGTCACTGCGAATTTTGCATTCTTTAAAGTTAAATCAGTCTTAAGAAAATGCAGAACACCTTACTCCATAATAAAAACAAATAATATTTGTGATGCAAAAAGATCTACAATTTTCATCAATTTAAACCAGATCAAAACCCTGTGTTTTTAACTGGAAAACAGAAACTGGCGTTTGTAACTTGAAAGAAGTATGCAATGAAGAAAACAGCTCCAAACATGGAGTTTGGGTACAAATTTCATCACTGCACACATAACACGTTTTAAAAGCAAATGCCGCATACACACGAAGGCATGACGCTCTGCAAAAACTAGAATATATCTTGTCTAAAACTTGTTGTTAAAAGTACCAAAACACGGAATGATGAAGTTGTTTGCAACGCTACAAAACTACAGATCGTTCACTACAAAAATAATAATTACGATACCAGTTAATGTTCCTTTCTTTAAATTCCGTCACCTAGCCTACTCACAGATGTTTCTGTTTCGTATGTTTTCCTCTAAGCAGTTTTTAACAAATATTTCAGCTCTTATTTTAGTAAAATCACAACACACAACTCTGTAACGATTGTGATGACGTGTCACATCCGACAAAATAACCAATACAAGTAATTAGTTACGTGTACATCAGATCAAAACTATAATTTGTATTCATTATTATTGTGACTATCTTATTGAAGACTATTCCGTTCAAGGGAAAATAGATTAGATTTTACGTACAGGAAAGTACTACAATGAAACTATGAAAGGAATGAATGAATTTGAAGCAGATGTTTTTAATAACATCAGTACACAGCAATGAGCTTCACGATCAGTGTGAAAATTTAAGTTACCATTGAACATTTTATTTAAAAGTCCATCACAGAGTTTGCGTATTGTAGATGTATTTATTTTCAACCGTTTTTCTGATTCCACGGAAGAATAGCTTGTTCACAAAATAAGTGTGCACTCGAAGTCCTATCCTACGTATTTATTTTGCAACGGTTAACTTCAGTGTCCCTATGAAAATAATAGAAATGAGTAAAAACATTTAAAAAGTAGTCTTTGATTCAAGAATTGCATGTGGACAAATTACACAAACGACTAAATGTACATCATGCACGCCCCCCCCCAAAAAAACACGAAAGTAAACATTATGAAGCGCAATGATCACGACACTTATCAAGTGAGCAGCATTCTAATTTTTGATGAAACGACAATATAATGATGCATATGTTTGCAACAATACAGAACTATGTAGCTGTTACGGCAAATGTTTAAAAAATGAAGATATCAGTATTAATTCGTCAATATTCCGTTACCACGTTCTATTTCTGAAAGCCATTTTTCTTTTATTCTCGTTAAAAAAGTTTTGAGACCCTAGCCAGAAGAAATATACCGCACACAATCTAATTATTTAACAATGACACAAGGATGTCTCAAATGAAGCTAAATGACAAGTATACGCTTTAAACCACAGTCAAGTTACAATTTTTGACTGATAAAATTACTAAAGGAAAAGAAAAACTATTGTTAAAGAAAATACACATAAAATATAAACAAAGAAAAGACTGCATGTAAATGATACTTTACCGAAGTACATTTTTCAGTCATATGTATCATGGATCTGTCACGATGACTGAAACGTTAAGACGATGTACTATACTGCAATTCTTTAGACGAATCGTCAGCAAAGTTAGGTACTGCAGATTTGACTGTGGATATCTTTCTTTTTATTACCCAATGCGGCAGAGAGGAATGAGTTAAGCCACGGACAATTTGATTTACTTTTTTCAAGTAGGGCCCGAGCACTTTATTTTCAGATGGCTCTAAATAATAACCAACATTTGTTTTCCTATCTTAGCGATTCACAAAACACCGCTCTTTCTGGTCGTAGCGATCCGTGAAAAGGTCATAGCTCTTAACATATCCACCATGGTTTCCAGTCGTTGCGATCCGCGAGAAACACCAATTCAAAACCAGTCTTGGGAAGCCGCGGTTCCTACATAACTTGTGTCTCCCATACCGTAATAACTAGGATATTCTGCGCACGGCATCAAATGAGCATATCAAAATTAAACAATTTATTTAACCATTTATCTGATTTGGATGTTCTTATAGCCTCTCATTACAAATGATTTTTCAGAACAGGAATGTCAAACCATAAACTTGCCAAAACTTAAAGACCTGTGTGTAAGCCAGTGATTCCGAATGCCTGTTCTCACAGTAAAATTAATTCAATGGTGTTGCTTAAAATTTGGACTGTTAAACATTGGCCAGCGGGCTTTAGCCTTAGACCAATGCGGGCATTCCATGAGATTAATTGAGTCAATGAACCAATCACAAAGGCCATGTGAAGGATTTGTTTCTTTCGAACCTAAATACCTGAAACCGTCTTGAGGGCAGTAAATTTTTTGAAGCCTTGTGGGCCTGAAAAGAATGAACTAAAAATGTTCATAAAAACATTCCTACGTCAATTTGAGTGCTGTCCTCCATTTCCTTCTTTATGTGTTTCGCAACTCGTGTCCGATGAGCCCAAGTACGTTGACGTGATTTGTGTACACTTTGTCGAGAGTAATCAAGCTTACAAGGCAAATATGTTGCACGCACGAAACGTACTTTGAAAACTGGAAACCATGCAATACGTTTCACGAAAGCACAGCGCGTAGGCTAATCCAAATGCAGTTGAATGTAGTGATTTGATGCGAGATATGTATACAACAATTTTCAACTTAATTATTAGTATTTTCTCCAAGGCTAGCTACATATAAATGATGTGCACAGTGTACCTTTGTAATGCAAAGGATGCTTCCAGTGTGACAAAACTTCATTGTAAAATAAATTTAAATTAAATCAAAGCTATACTGAGTTTGTCATAATCCACGTTTACTTATCGGAAGCTATGGATCTTTTACGACAAATACATAAAAGCACGAATATAAATGCTTCAATCTTGACGCACTTCTGAAGTTACCCAAATATCACTTCAGTGACAACTATATTTAATATAAACAAGCTTATTATTTTATGCATTTCCTAGTTGTGTAGCCTATTTTGCTTTGTTTCTGTTATTTTTATTTAATTCTGAATAAAACGAGTCGATAAAGGTCCATCTCTACATGGCTTCATGTAAATGACGCTTCATACTGAATTACACGCAAGTCGTAGCTTGAGATGTAATGTGGCAACATCATTGGTGTTTATTAAATTTATCATTATAGAACGAAGAAATGACTGTTGAACACAGGATTTATACCAACACTACTAATTCTTGTTGAAATGGTTGCAAGTTTCTTAAAATGGATAGGAAATTCTTAACACTGGTAAGCGTTTCAGATCCTGTTCCTTACACATCTGCGCCTCCTCTCTTGCTTTTAAGTCCCGGGTTGTTTGGGAATTGACGTGAACCTGATCAATGGTAATGGAAAAACTTGTTGGTAACATGCATGCAACAAAGTCGTCACTGCATCTAAGGCTTGGGGTGCGCTTTCCTTCATGTAGTCTTCCATTTTCAAAGCAGTCAGATTGATTCTGATTGTGATAAAGAGACTAGCACGATATCACCTTGCAAGCAAACTAAAGCTCTTGTCCTGACCGGATTATTTGATGTCCAGATGTATTTGCTATCTTGTAAGGAATGTAGTTTTTTAGTTTTGTGTTTGGGTAGTGTGCAAAGCAGTTGATATTATGTCTCAGATTTGTATTAAATTTCAGTGCTTTTAAAATTGAGTATAAATGAAACGTGCTTTAAAAAAGATTGTAATAATGTAAGACGTATTATCTATAACACAATCAAAACCATTCTGTCAGGCTGTTTTTACCTTTCAAATAATTCCTCCAAGAATGACTGGACACTGGAGTTTGGGGCAAAGTGGGCCACATTCTCCCCCTTATTGTTCAACAGGTGGATGTTGGCTCCATGTTTGAGGAGGGAGGTAATCAAGGCAACGAGATTTGTCCTTCCGTTTCGAACACTGCCATCCTCTTCTTTTTTCTTGACAATATCCAAAAGCTGTAAACAAACCGTTGATTTATATTCATTACTCCCTGTTAATTTTAAATCTTAGCGAAGGGAGAGGTACTGGGCAGTTAGAGATTTTATCGGAAATCAGAATTGAAAACTGCCTTTGGAGAAATCCTGAAGTGATTTTTTTTTTACAAAGGAAGGAGTTCAACTAGAACAAATAAGTAAAAAGAATATAGCGTTCCACTTTTTAGCAAACTTTTTGTCAGCGATTAGTAACGATATTTTGGAATTCTCCAATTATATTACCTAATTGTGGGCAAAAAATATCTCAAACGAGGTGTTTTGTACCTTAAACGTAAAAAGTAAAGCCTTCAAGATGTCTCCCGACTGGATGAAAAAATACAAAATTTGTGAGTTTGTCATAGAGGGATCTATTTCTACATTCGCCCGTTATCTTTTTTTCCTGGTATCCTGCCCGTTTTCGAAAATAAGCTCTCACCTCCTCTTTGGATGCAGACCTTAACATAGCTTGTGTGGATTCTTTCATCATCACCAGGTGAAGACTGGTGTTGCCCCCACTGTCCTTGATGTTCACGTTGGCACCGTTGTTTACCAGCGCCTCGATGCACTGGTAATGGTTTTTATCAATGGCAATATGAAGTGCTGTCTGCGAGTTACAGTTTTGGAGATCTTTATTGCAGTTACCCTTGGGACAAAAAAGGCTACTTTAGGAACACAACCTGTAGAATTTGGGGCTTTTCTGTGCATATTATGAAGCCTATATGAAGCCAAAACTGGTACGGACTTGTGCTTTTATAAAGTACAAAGTAAACCCTCTTCCACACTTGAAGCAACGAAAGTGTAACCTCAGATGACGTCACCTTTTTGTTCACACATCTTGAAACTTTATTCAGCATAAGACACAATTTGAAACATCCGTAAAATTGTGACAGAAGGTTGGTGCAGAAAGTAGAGGCAATTGGAGTAAAACAGACATTTTAAGGGTTCGCTAAAATAGAAATTTTAGGGTTTGGTTTAATTTAACTCCCTTTTGTATTAGCCATTTACTCGGACTGAAATGCAGGTATTAAGGTTTCGGGATGATTGTTTACATCGCCCTGAATGGTTCTCTCTCACCTGTTTGGCCAGGGTTTGTACTACATCCGCGTGGTCGTAGAGGGATGCGATGTGTAGTGGTGTGAACGTTTCGTTTCTTTCATTGATCACCGACGGCATAGCTTTCAGAATCAACTTCACGGCACTGGTGGTTTAAAATCAGTTAATTCACTCAAGTAAATCTGCAAACTCGCCTGAGGCGTAAGGCAGTCGTTTCGACTTGCATTAATTAAACGTTTGTTTAGCCGACGAATTAAGATTTGCACTCAAAATGCTCATTTTGACTTAATATTTAGAACATGTTAACATGTTGGCGGTCACTTTGTCTCGAAAAGTGTGATAACATGTTCTGTGTTGGGACTTTTTAAACGCTAACGAATCAAGCACATTTAGTTTTTTGAAAGCCAAGGCACGCACTGAAAAAAAATTTCCATGGCAGTGTTCGGCTGGAAATCCGAATATCAAATGTTTCACAATCTCCCCTGAACCTAGGGTTTTGATACGCTTTTATTCATCCCGTTTTTGTAAAGGTGTTAAAATATGCTAGGACATATGTTTACATACACTTTCAGTTATGTCATTTTCAGTAGCATAACTTTCAGCCATTTTCACTGCGTTAGCCAAGCTTGGTAGCTGTCACATAATTCTGTCAGAAATTTGGGCGTTTTCTTGAGTTCCATCAAGAGATTCCCAACAGGGTTGCGATCAGGACTTCAGGAAAGCCTATTCGAAACCTTAAAATGCTTTACCTCTTTCAATCCTTCCCATACCACCTTCAAAATGTACCTAGGGTCATTGACTTGTTGAAAGGTCTGGTTTGCGTTTATACAGCCGCCTGACAGTTGGATTTAGACTTAAATGTAATTTAAGATAATCTTTCCTTGTGATCCCATTCATTTTTGAGTTAAGTTCCGTTCGCTGCAACACTGTCCGAAAGAGCACGATTGTTCCACGACGTTTGCGAATTGGCATGTGCTACTGGAGTTGAAGAATCTCTTCCTTCACTCAGACAGTAGTTTTGGTCCTTAAAAACAGAAATTCCCCACCTACGGAAATTCTTCCGTTTCTTAATGTAATCAGAAACAAATTGCAGTTGAGCTTGGATGGGATGATTTTGAAGGAGAGACTTATTCTTGCACGAAGCCCCAGCCCTGGATCCCTTGCCTTAGTTGCTTGACTAGGTACCGTGCTACCTTTGTTCCTGCAACCTCCAGTTCCAGACAAACTTATAATGTTGCCGTCACGGGTGAGATTTGCCAGACGATTTCCTTTTTTCAGGACATTTTTCGTCAGGATATTTCCGATTTCAGGATTTTTCAACTAACCTCTTTAAAAAGCTGCAAACTCTTGGTTTACCATTGTGGTGTAAATGGAAACGTTGACATTTAAAAATAAATTAAAAATGGGTATCAGCCAGAGAGTTTAAGAGACCAACAACAGCATAGCAGAGCTGTAAACTCGAGTCATTGACTTTGACTCGAGTTGCTCTTTTTGTGACTCGTAATTTGAATTGTAACTATCAGCTTTTGACTGATGACTTGACTTCGACTTGCGAAAATTGACTTAATACCACCTCTGTAGCACAGGGTCTGTGACAAACGTACGTTTGCCCTTAAAAATGTATATCATAGACACTGTGCTACTGTCAAACCTCCAACCCTCAGGTGAGTATTTCGTGGATATTTCATTCTTCTCTAATATAACCCCTGTTCTTGGACTGCACTGCACCGACTGCAAACAGGTGCAGAAGCTAAGAAAAAATTACGTTGAACTTTGCGCCCCTGGACATTTTCAATGAACCGCTCAAGCCTTTTCCCTTCACATGCCATTTATGCGCATGCGCACATAAATTAAAATTTATTCGTCGATGGATCTATTTCCCCCACACATAGCACATTTCCTACAACAGTTGGCGCGTAATAGGCCTAACACCGCAGCTATCTAACCTCGTACCCAAGGTTACAAAAATTACAACGCAGTAGACACGACACATCAACTGTGAGAAAGATCACCGTTATCCACTGTTGTGGCCCAACAACATCGGCAATGCGCTCGACGCGTGAATGATCCATGCGCGCTTGTAGCATATCACGTGATCAAACCACGACCAATCAAAATTTACTATCTATGACCATGGTATAACAACAGTGGATGATAATTTGGGCTTACTCTCCGATCAGTGTAATATGTTCACTATTTTGAGGCGTTTACACTTATAAATAACTGTCTGCATGTATGCATATTTTAGCACTTTTTCACAAACGGCTAAACAAAAGGTTATTGAAGTTCAAGTGGGGTCCAATTTAGTACCTGAAAAGGGAGAGCCATAGAAAGCATTTGATTCAAGAAACAAAGCCACAGTCATTTTTATGGTGTCTTTTCAGTGCGGTTGTGTGTGTCAATTTGGTCTTCAACTGCACCATATTCTTATTATAAACGCCAACATTATACATAATCAACTGAATAGATAAATAATGATGCATACTCATCATTCCCACTGAAGGCTGCAAAATGCAAGCAGTTGTCCCTGTTGTTATCCCTCAACGTGACATCAATTCTGTCATCCCTTAGAAGCATCCGGATGAGATTCTGAATCTCCAGTGATGATTTCGGAACGCCTTTCTGTGTGTAGTAATACAAATGAATGATTGGAAAGTTCCCCTTTGCGCAGAGTTAGGTTGTATAATATTCAAGGCAATCACAGTAACTGGGGTCTCCTTCTACTTATCCTTTACATCTGGATAAGAATAAAAGTGCTAACGTGGATAGCAGCATTTTGAACCGAACCCTTGCAGTAGTCAGTCAACAGAAATAAACATATTTAAATCGTTAAGACTTCTGAATTATTCAACATGAGACATCGAAACGATCGAGTTTCCAAAACGTTGTGGGCAGCAGGCTATGATTAGTACAGGGCAGTTTCTTGTCGAGCGCCGTCTGTACTGCTGTTACATTTAAAACAATGTCATCCCGCAAGAGACAAAAGTACATACAAAACACAGGAAGAGTCGTAAGTTACGAGGTCGGTTTGCCAGCCAGCTGTTCTGGCCTGCATCAGCCGTGGGTGGCACGGCCCAGTTGGGTGCACACGCTGCACCGCAGAACGCAAGGCGGAATTCACTGATTATTAAATTTACTCACCGAAAGACGGGTAAAATAGCAGTCATCAAACAAACAACACAGGCAGTTTTTCTTTATATAATTAATAAATTGCTCAATAAAGACCTGTACGCCACGAGTGCACACGTGGGCGTATAAATTTTTCGACTGGAATTACGGTCAGCCCTCCAGATTTGGGACATTATGTGTCAAAATACCGTTCCCTGGATAATCTCACATTCATAAACCTGAACGTTTGGAGGTATTGTTGCCGAAATAATTATATGCTATTTTCCCAATAATGATTAATTCGTGGGCAACGTCTTTTAGATCCGAAAAGGGTACAATAATTGAGTCAGTGTGCCACTTACAATATCTCGCACCTTAAACACAATTCGGAATTTTATGACTGTGCCTGACCAGGGTATGCGATATTTGACATAGGACTTGAATGTGCTGGCTACAGTGCAGTATTTAAAATTCGAGAAGGTAGTGGTAAATATCTCAACATCTACATATGAAAAGACCACAATGAACTGCATGAAATTTGCACAGTGGGTAAAGCACGGAATTATGTATTTTTCCCTGTGTTTATTCAAATATTGCTTCCAGTAAATGTTTGATTTAGAAGTGAAAACCTGTTTCTTGACAGTGGAACTTGTTGCCTCTTGCAAGGATTTCTTCAAGAGCAGATGCAGGCACGTGTCTCCATCCTTGTCTTGGGCGTTAACATTTGCGCCCATGTTCAGCAGAATCTCGACGCTTTTGGTGTTGCAATTGTCAGCAGCCAAATGGAGGGGAGTCTGGGCGTTTACGTTTGGAATAGTTTCATTGCGGCCCTGATTTTAAAACCGAAACAAATTTGAAATAGCACTAAAGGGTAGGTCAACCAAAAACGACAAACATGGTGTATATAATGGAGGTTAGTAATACAACCCTTCGGTGTCAGTTTTTTTTGCTACCTCAGATGGTAGTGCAAGTCCTCATTTATGAGAAAACTGAGGCAAAAATGCTTGATGTTACTTGGAGTTCAGCACGAATTCCTTTTGAATTTGTTATATATTGTCGTCCTAATGTTTTCTTTTTTTCGTGGGAAATGCAGCCAGTAAGGCAGCAAAGAACCCGTTATCAGACATATTTTCTTAATTAAAAGAAATCATGAAACTAAACAATGTTTTCCAAGAAAGACGTAATTGTAAAAGTGTCCTGAGCTGCTTGAAACATTAGAACGATTTCAATTCCCTAAACGCAAAAGGGACTTTTACGTGAGGTTTTTACAGCAAAATGACAGTGTTAGGAAAGTAAAACGTACTATGCGATATCAGTGCTACGCTGGAGAGTTGTGTTTCATTGGATGAAACTCAGCGTTTCTCTCTGGAATAAAACAAACTTTTACGCTGCATTTTTAGCAGTAAATTAAAAAAAACCTTTCAAAAATGCTATTCATTTTGGAACAGGAAAAAAACAACAAAAGTTTAAGTACACTCTAGACATGGGATTCAGACCATGGACAACCACTGTCCGAATCTTTTTCCTTGCCAGCACTGGCAATATTCTCCTCTCCTCCTTTTATGCCACGACCCATGAGCGTGCTGCTAAATGCACATAGAGTGTCATCATACACTGGCATTTTACTTCAACTGTGGCTGCAATGAATATTTTCATCAAAATTATATTTTCCCGGACAACTGAGGGCGCTGTTGTTGTGAAGTCATTTAGGGAAGCAGTGCATAGGTATTTATGTTCAATTGTAAGATTTTACTAACTGCAAGCATTTCTGCAGGACGTTTTATGTACAAACCAATGTAACATTGAGGCTTCTTCCTGAGATAACGTCACAGTTTTTCTCATGAATATGTAAGTAATCATTAGCATAAAAAAGGAACTAAAATACCCTTTGAAATAGTCAAACCAAATTTGAAAACAAGGTTTACTGAAGCACACAGGTGCATTCTACAGGTTTGCAATTAAAAAAAAAAACGATTGCAGCCACCGATTACAGTATCCTGTCTTTATCCTGAACTAAAAAGGTAGGAGGGGGACGGTTCACAGACTACTTGTGAGTACTAGCCTGTTTTGGTGTACATTCCTGGAGTGGAAGCATCAGGTTTAAACTTAAATTTACTTTCAGCAAACAAACTAGGGAATACAAAGAATTTGACTGGAGTGGGATTTGAACCTGCCACCTCCGGTACACCGTTGCGGTGCTTGAATGCTGAAACTTGCAGAAGCACAGAACTAAAAGGCATTCAAAAGCCATGGAAATAGGGAACATCGAGGACAGAGACCCATTTTTTTAGGATTGTATTTAGAAAGAAATGACATTGGACTTTTAGAAACAAGCGGTCTCACCTTTTCGCAGAGTGTGGCCACAATATCAGTGTGGTTATTTAGAACAGCGAGGTGTAGGGCTGTCCCTTTGTCCGCTGTGCAAGTAGTGTCAATCAAGCTAGGCTTTGCTGCCAACATAATCTTCACTGCACTGGAGACAGAAAAATGTTTGCAACAGGGCCTCATCGAAAGAATAAACCTTTCCTAGTACACAACGTATCTCAAATGCAATGAATTTAAAGTAAAATATGTAGTAGTGTACCTAAATTCACTTCTTAATAAAAAAGGAGGCTTGGCTATATCAAGTCACAGTCCAATTATCAAAGACGAATAGCAAATTTTTGGCATATCGCGAAGTATTTAAACGCGGCTGACTTCATTCAGTGATTTTGATTGTAATCTTAGTAATTTTAAAGGAATTTATTTTATAGTAAATTACATGTACTCTTAACAATGAGCCAAACGCACAAACTGTTCCCATTGATGGCTGCACTATGTAAACAGTTGAAGCCTGTCTTATCTGTCAGTGTCAGGTCGATTGTGGGGTGCTCTACCAACAACTTGATGACTTTCTGGTATTCTTTGATAGTAGCAAAAACTTGATGGTCCATGTCTCCATCGTCCTGCAAAAAAGTCATTCAGTTTAAGCAATAAACTATTATAATGTCACCTCATCTGGTCAAATTCGGGCCATAATGTCACCATCTCAACGCGGGGTGAGCTTGAATAATTTGCAGCTTTTTCGGGGGTATTTTGCCTCAAATGCGCCCCCTCTATAAGCTCTAAGAGTTAGATTCCCAAGTTTCTTGGTATAGCCTACTTTCATTGAGCACAGCGTAGTAGGGCAAAATTATGACAAATGGCAAAAGGTACTGTACAAGTAAACTACGTATTACCAGCACCTAGTTCTGGGCCGGCCTAATAACGGCAACCGTATGCGTTGCACAGGTAGTGACCATTAATCCATCTGATAGAGAAATCACATTTTGTCTTGCTTGAGAGGTAAGCCTCAGTGTCACAGCGTGCGACGTACACATCCTTAGCAAATGCTTAGTCTCTGATACATTAAGCCTCTGCTATGTTGTTACCTTGGTACTTGATAGTGCGGAAATGTTCTTCATAGAAATCTTTGCAATGGCGAGATGAAGGCTGGTGCTGTCGTGAATGTCTTTAGCATTCACATCGGCACCATATTCCAACAGAACTTCTATGCACTTGAGGTTACATTCGTTAACGGCCAGGTGTAGTGCTGTCTGCTTACTCGCATTTCTGATGTCCTTCTGGCAGTTTTCCTACGTGACAGCAATGCAATGGAAAGAAACCCTTACTCTAAAACGAGCTTTTAGACTTTTGGCCACCCATAGTAAGGGCGTACGTCCAGATATACAAGAGTAGATGCATATTTATACTTTTCCATTTTTTTTGTGAACAGCGGACAGTGTCTTGAATACAGCAGATTCCTACCTTCTGTAGAAGGGTTGTCAATATGTCTGCAAACCCATTACTTGCGGCCATATGTAGCGTCGTGTTACTGTCATTTCCTGTTGTATTGATCAAGGATGGGTTCGCCTCCAAAATCTTTTCCACCACACTATGGAAATGAAACACTGTAAGTCCTGCCGGTGTATTGTGCTTTTTATGGTACAATCTCTTTATTCACAGTTTATATCTAAACAACCTCGTTTTGGACCCCCCCTTAACAAAATATTGGAAATAAGGTTTGGTGCACAAAGAAAAAATGAGCACACGTATCACGTAATTATTAGTACAGTAAGTTTTGAACGGCGGCACTTTGAAAAAAATATTAACAGCGGTCTGTAGTCGGATTAGGCATAGAGGGGTAACCTAAAATAAAATATGTCAGAAAATGCAAATGTTTTGTTTTTCCATTTCAAGTATTTACCAAGAACTGAGATCTCGTTTTCACCAAAATGGCATTTACTCCCAATGTCAAAGGTTTTAAAAGGAAACTTACAATCTTTTCCCTTTGAGTGCTGCGTAGTGTAAGCAGTTATAATCTTTGTTATTTAGCAATCGAAGGTTGGTTTGTTGTATCAGCGTCTCGAGTATTTTCTGCTCATATTCCGTATTGTTGGTTCCTGAAGTTTCTTTGACGTCCTATACCAAACATAATATACCAGAGTTTACTTATAACTAATTGGTTTGGTTGCAAGTTGTATTTGACACAATTCGTATAATTTTAAAGTCGGGACCTGTCATGTCAGGCAGGCCGGCGGTACTCTCTGAAAGGTTTAGAGTTATTGAATGGCGGTTGGGAAGGAGGAAGGGAAGGCTGTGGCTTGGCAGCTGATGAGTGACGGGGGCTTGGTCCCTCGGGACTCCTCCCCCCACCCTTCAAATCAGCAGGACTGGAAATAAAAGTGCCACGTCCTTACACTCTCTCTCTCTCTCTCTCT